CCATTTAACATGCTTTTCTTTCCATGATGACGGATGAGGTAGGCCTCTCCTGCCTCCCCTAACTGCACATCACTGCTCACAGTTATCAGTTATTCCCTTGGAAACATCTTCCCATTATGATGGTAACAACCCCCAAGTCAATTTGATTTGGCCTGATTTTTCAAACATTTATATTTAGATCATCAAAGTTCAACATAAATGATAGTAAAAAAAAAAACACATCAAAATATTAAATATAAAATGTATTGTAAACACATTACAAAATGCAGTGTTGCCTCTGAGCTGAATAGCATCTTTTGGAAAAGTGAGAGGTGCAAACAGTTTAGGCAGAGTCAGTGAAGTGACCAGTATCTTTAGGTTCCATTGTGGATCTCCATAGCCCCAAGCTCCCAGTAGTGTTTAACCCACAGAACTCATTATACAATCTCACAACAACAATGAAGTACAATGAAGAGTTTTTACATCTTATAATGAAACATTCAATCAGATTATGTATTCATGTTTGCAGTAATCTTTTAATCCCTAATCCAGATAAGGCAGTCAAATCTGATTAATCTGAATCCCTCTTGTAGTGTTATTATCAGATAAAAGTAAAGAATGAACAAAAAAGACCCCAAAGCTAAAGAAGTAAAAGAAAAGGCAACTTAATGTCTAGTTTTACTTGTTTTCTAATATTAACTATGATGTTTTTTAACTGTTTTAATTGAGTTTGCATCCTGGAAGAACAAATTACACATTTCTCTTGACATTATACTTCAGTAAGAGTCTCTTAAACTATAGCTCAGCAGCCAAGTGATAAAAGTGTTTTTACAGTATGTCAAGAGTACTACAGTGACCCAGAGGCAGGATCCCACAATGATTGACCACAATTACTCAGCTGGGACCTTCATGTAATGAGAGCGCTAATATAAAATATAATATCCAGCAGTAATTGGATGGTGCTCTTTGGAAATGGTTTGACTGTGAGAGTCCATTAAACAAAAGCACAGAAACTCTTCAGTTTGAAATACAATGGCTCCAGTTATGCACCATTGTTCTGATTTGACTCCCAGGGTAAGAAACTAAATTTACTCAGTTTAGGTCCAGGCCTGAAATGTGAAACCCAGTGGTATAAAATAAAGAGACAAAGGAGAACAGGCTGAGTACTGAACCATTTTAAAACAATGACACCTGTCAGACAGAAAAACACCAGACCCCCTTTATAATACAAGATACCCACGTCCAGCTTCTGACAAGTGACACCTGCTCTAATAAATGTGCTTTTGGGTTCAAATTGAGAAATCACACAGGAATATTCAGTTATTGAATGTATGAAAACTTCCCTGCTAAGTCTGGACTTTTCTACTTTTATTTAATTCCATTTATATTCTGTGCTTTTTAAACTTTTATACTTGTTAAATATGACCACCTTTGAATTATGACGATATGGGTCCAATAAATACAACATATACGCAGCACAACTGTCTGTCTTATGAAAGAAAATCTTGAGTTTGATTGTTTAATAGTCAACAGAGAGTCACAAAAACATATCAATGACAGCAACTTTTGAAGAGGTTGAAGCTGCGACTAGGCTTCTATTTCAGGAATAAGTCATGTTTTTTCAGATATTGCAAAGAAAAGACTTGCTGCTTCATTTATGTCCTTGACTGATTATAGTAAACTTTTATATATGTATGCATCATCTCATTGCCCTCACTCTTTGGATACTGTTTACCATGGAGGCCCTGTAGCTCATGACTAATCCAAAAGTCCCATCCATTTTTTTTTTTACTACTTAAAGTGTTCTCAGTGGTCTTTACATTGTGATTATTAAGTTTTTAGTCAAAATCACATTACCTGTGTCATTTTCAAGGGCTTTTCTTCCTCGCAGCTCCAGTAGCTCATTAGCAATTCACCTCTGAGTCGTAGGCAGAGACCGCACTCCTCTGCACACTCCTCTTCATGCTAGCTTGCAGCCTAACATTGCCGGTGTAGTAGAAGAAGCAGGTAACATAGGAGCTATTCAGCTCTCAGACACTAATGTCTAACGGGACATGATGCAAGTTAATATCATAATTAGCTTTCTTATGAGCACTGCAATCCACTAGCCAACACGCTTGTTCTGGGGTCGTCCTCTCTACTTTTCCGAGTCTAGCCTGCAAAGCGGGGCTTAGGGGGCTGGGCTTGGATTTGTGACATCAGAAATCTCACTCTGTCTGAACAAGCCATTTGAGTCTGCCAGAGATTCACAGCGATTTGAATGCAGACATACTCATAAATGCAATTTTGCTCTTATTTTTCTTGTTATATGTCCTGTTGCATCAGAAAAATACCACATGAACATGTAGACAAGAAAAAGATGATTTTCATCAGAGTGGGTCTTTATGTTTGTAACTCATCACTGCTCCCTGTATGCTCAAGTTGGTTGACATGTACTGTCCACATATAGACTAAATCACTGTCCTTGTTCATAAATCAATTCTTGTCTGGCTTCCCTCTTATTTATCTGATCTCATTAACTTGAAAAATGGTAGACACAACAGTTTTAGCTCTGTGACTCAGCCACGAGTTATTTTTGCTTTCTGTGTCCAGCAAGTGTCTTGAAATGGGTTAAAGGACTTTAGGTATGGTGCTCCTGTAGCTTGGAATTTGCTGCATGTGCACTTGAGCTGGTTTCTAAATGTTTTTTTGAAGTTGATTGAAGTTGTTAGAGAATGATGCATTAGGCTGTATATGCTTTAAATGATGACTCTCTGCTGTATGGTGAAGGAAATGTAAACATGTGTTTGTAATTATGTGTTTGGATGTCAAACTTTGTTGGGGCATTCTGCTGAAAAGCTCAGCCAGGACACTCTTGCAAAGAAAAAATATATATTTTTGATCTCAGTGAGGCTTTCCTGTTTAAACAAAACCAAATAAATAAATGAAGAAATTACCAACACATCTGCCATCCTTTCTGAACTAACACAACCACACTAAACATACAAAGCACCATGAAATTTACAAAGACCTGTTACTGTGAACAGCAATTATTTTGAGTTTTGCTCCACATGAGGAAATTACTGCTACAATCTTATTATAGTCATTTTGTATAATTTGTGCCATATTAGCTGTTAGGAAGGTGTTTCCTCTCTTATATGTTGAATACGTATGATATGTCCTTATACAAAACATGCTGATTTTATAAAGCATATGTGTTTTATGTAGGATTTTCAATACTTTTATATTAACTACAATGTACTGAAGGTCCAAAAACTAAATTTTCAAAAGAAATAATTTCCTCTTTTGTCCCTTTATGCAAACTGTAGCCAAGCTGATGCAGTGTCTTCCAGCTTCCTGCAGCCACTATGACAAAAAACAACAACACCATAGCACTTTTGATGAGTCAAACAAGGTACCTACTTCATGCAGACAGAATTCATACATATTATATAAGTACTTTTGGTTTTAACTACAGTATACAGGTACAGCTTATCACACATCTCAAAGGCCAGCACAGCACTGTTAACAGCTTGAGACTGTTAATATGAACTAACAAACTGCTTTGAAATGCAGAACAATGGAATTTGAGTTTGTGATTTAAAGTGGGATACTGGCTATTAAGTTATGAAAATCAACAAACAGTATAGATTGAAAGATGACCACTTTTACAGCCCTGATTAAAGTTCAAAGAAACAAATGTTTGATTAATCTATGAAATGTGTTATACGATTAAATTGTGTTGGACTTTTTCAAAATTCAACATAGGAATCAGCTTTTCCCCTACAATGCAAAGGGCACTCAATCTAGCGCTGGAGGCACATTCTCATGTATTTTTCTCTATTCTCACCACATTAAAAACGCAAAAAACATACATTTTTAAAGCAGTGTCCTAATCTTACACACTGCTCAAGTTATTTGAATGAGATAAAAATGTGCGCTGTGCTGCCCTTGGGCTTTTATGTGAATCTTGCCACTTGAGTTCAGTGACAGGTGGGTTCTCAAGGCTGCGGCTCTGGCAGTGATCAGCGTTAATGCTCTTACATTCTCCCGTGCTTTGTTCCCTTGGCTTTTCACAAGGATTTCAGTCACTATTGTGTCTCTCTTCGAGAGCTGATGGTTTGTCAAGGGGAGGAAATGATGGACTAATTGGCAGAGACACTTTTTCTGACTTTCAGTCTCCAACCACCTCCTTTTTTTCGTCTTACCCTCACCCTCCATATCAATACTTTCTTGACTTATGAGTCTCTTTCGTAAACCTTACCCCTCCACTTTGTCTGTCTCTTTTCGATCTACTCTCAACTCCAGCCCTATAATTATTTTCAACCTCTTTATTGGCTCATAAAACAAAAGAGTGGCTAGTTAAATCCAGACAATAGACTGGTGTACAACACCCTGAGCAATGACACCAGCTTCAGCTTTTAAAAAATGTTCAGCCCACTTAAATTAATTAACCAGTAGGGGAACAAGTCATGCTGCACAGAAAGCACAGCATGGCTAAGATTTATAGACTTATAGTGGTTAATTATTCAACAGAAAATGTCTCGCTAAATGTCATGTAACAATATTTAATGCTGGTATAACATTTTGTGTAGCGGGGTGAGAAGAGGTAAAGAGAGGCTATTTGAACAAAAGAGGTTCGATCTCTATAACTTTGTCTTCTTTGTCCTAATACCAGACACTGTTCTCGGCGTCTATTGTTTGAAATGGTCAACTTAAGAATTATATACTAGGATTCAATGACAGCCAATCACAACCAGATCATTCAAAGTTCATGAGCTCTACAGTGAAAATTTCTAATCCCATCTGTCCCAGCTTCAGTCTTCTTTGAAACTTAAAAAAAAATGAACTTATAGGCGGCGTGGACAGCGTGGCCCCAACCATCCAGTAATTTTACCTCTGAGCCACAGCCACCTCTGAAACTACTATGTGTATATATATCTCATACAAAGCTCACCTTAAACAGCAGTTTTCCATGATGTAAGGTCTCTTTTCACAGGGTTCATTTCAGTTAAATAGTCTCAACCTGGGAGACCATCCCATTTCTGTTTTTGCTGAAAGACAACAGCTGCTTGGTTTATCAGAAGTTGATACTGTTTCAGAATTACTACACATTTGACTCTGCATATTTGGAAATGTTCACTGTAACGCTTCTTTGTTTGCCAAACATATAAATACTGACATTTAGTTTTTACTTATGTTTGTTCAGATTAAAGGGATATTCTGTTGTAAATTTAAATTATGGTCAAACACACTAACACCGAGTTAGACAACCCCTTGAGAGATGAATGTTGCTGACTGCATGTTTCTCTAGTCATACCAACTCGATCACAGAGTGCCGTGGATCATTTCCATTAAGGAATAATCATCATAATAATTATTTGCACTGCAGACACTGTAGTTCTTCTGCCTCAGTGTCTCGGTCTGATTGCATTTCCATTAAGTAATAATCATACATTTCCTTCCTTGAGCTGCGAAACTCCGCTGCACTTGGTGATCGACTTATCAGGGCTCCCCCACATATGCTGAAGGAGAGTGGGTGAAATGCGTTTGGTCCCTTTGCTAAAGAAGCCAGGCAAAGCTGAAAAGATGTTTGATGAGCTCCTCCCCTCCCTTTCTTGTGCATACATGAGAGCCAAAGCAGCAGCAAAATAAATACGATTAAGATAAATAAATCAAAAATCCCCCAAAACAACTATACAATGCCCGGCTATAAGAGGGGGGAGCTCCTGCCCTCCCTTTTCATGTGCATGCATACATGAAAGCCAAGGCAGCAGCAAATAAATACGATTAACATAAATAAATCAAAAGCCCCCCAGAACAACCATACCAGGCAACCCTCCCTAGCTTCATGAGCTACATGAAAGCACCTACAGGGGAGGGAGAGCAGCAGCCAGCAGCAAGAAACAATGAAGCAACCTACCCACCTCCAAAGCTTGTGTAGTATAGGGTACCCTCAAACATGATCATGGAACAGGATTAATTTCGTCCATACACATATTTATAATTGGGAATATGCTTAAGAATACAATATATATGGGACAGAGTTATGGCACAGCAGCATTTTTCTGGTAATGGTGGTCTGAGTCCCTGTGAGTGCACTTCAGCAGTGTAATGGACCAGCAAGAGAGTCTTTTTGTCTTATAGAAGCAGCCCGTTGGAGATACGCTTAAGAATACAATATATATGGGACAAAATTATGGCGCAGCAGCATTTTTCAAAGTACTTATAGCTAATTGAGTATAAGCGTTTCTTGAGCCTCAGGCCTGAGGTATTATTCATAGGCTGATGAGGACCATTGACCCGTAGGCTTGAACGTTGAGACAGGGACAATGGAGGATGCCATTGCAGCTGCATCTATGCGTAGAGTCGCGCTCAAGTGGGAGCAAGCAGGATTGGCAGAGGTGAGCAGAAACCATGATCTGGATATAGGTTTCCCTTCTTGGGTGGCAGAGAGAGACTCTTGCTAGCTGGCCAGTGGCTGGCCTCTCAGGCAGCGGGACATGGAGGACAAAGGACAAAGTCAGAGTTTGTTCGAGAAATGAATAAATACGAATAGATTCGAAAAAATGAATAGGGTTTTCAAGCAGACTGGTGGTGGATGGTTCAGACAGCACATATGGAACTGAATATCTGCTACAAGTCCTTTAATTTTTGCGAGATTCAAAACAGTGGACTATTAATGCACATGCAATTGATATATTTACAGCATTGGAGCTTCAGAGAAGGTGGTGCAAAAGAGGTGAAGTGAGACCATGCAGAATCATATTAACTTAAATGCTGATTTTGCTTAACCAGCTCTTGTATAGCAGGCCGCAGAAAGCACAGAAGTTTGCAAGACTGTGCTCAGACTAACACAGTCTCAATGAATGGGGAACAGGTCAGGCTGGATGGCGCTGACTCCGGGCACAGCTGGCAGAGTTTTTGTAGTTCGAATTGGGACAGGAATCAGTATTTTGGTTATCCTAGCCTGGAATATGGACTGCTCAAATAATGAAAATTACCCAAGACAGGTAAGGTGCCTCATAAAACTATTAGTAAATGGAACTGAAGAGTGCCCTTGTTAATGATATTAACAGTTGCCTCATTGTCACGAAAAGAAAATCTGTTTCCTGGACCAATGTTTACCCCATAGGAGGCCAGAGATGACAACTGGATACAGGAGGAGAGCAGTTAAAGACATGTTTTTTGGCAGAGAAGACAGTTCATTTGGCCAAATATAAGCAACCATTGATTATTAAAACCCCGTAAACCAACAGATGGTGCTGTGACTGTAAATAGCTGAGATCGCGGGAGAATATTCCGGATAGTCACTATAAGAGAATGAGATGCCTTTCCATTTTTACATAGAAGTGACAAAACTGCAGCTTGGATCTGCAACCTTTATCTAAGCTTACTTTATCATGAAGTTGCTCAACTGATTTGGCGAGGTTGAGAAGTGTAGATATAAAGGACCGTCCTTGAGGCATGACACGCATGGCAAATTAATATGCCCAAGCAAAGAGAGCTCTTTTCGGTAGATGTACTGCCTCTTGAGCATGTCACGTTACTTCTCTACTTAGATGCTTTTTCCGCGAGTATTTATGCGTAGCTATGCCTAAAGGATTAATGCTGGTAATTGAAAGGGTGACTTAGCATAGCGGCCAAACGTGAATCCTTTCTTAACCCCCTTTCCATCAACTATTTCAGGATCTTTCATTGCAGATTGGAAATTAATTTTTACAAACAAACGACACTTTTGGCAGATAGACCAAACCTGCTAGGAACCCCTGAACCAGTCCTGTTATCAAATAATGCACAACAGCAGTTGGGATGCTTTACCAGTGCCTTCCCCAGCTCAGGGATATTTGACAGAGTAGACAGCTTTATTCTCCTTTTTTACAAGGCGGGTGCATCTTGGGCGTGGTGCTTTTTTAGATAACCGTCCCTGCAGTAACTTGGCCTTGCTGAGTTGTAGGCTTAGAAGAAGCTTGTTGGTTGGCCTGTAGCCACAGTTTTAGGGCACAGATTGGAGGTGTGAGCAGGGGATATTATAAGATAAGGTTCTTGCATGTACTGAACCGTAGGCTTTGAACAAGATGAGTATACCCACGTTTAGCGGGGAGCTGACTCTGATGCCACAGTATCATCATCTGCTGCAACTCTCTATTGAACATAAATCTGTTGATCTATTTATTTATCATTTTGACTTATTTCTGCATTTAAGATTGAAGCAGCTGTCTCTTTAAAGTTCCCTCCTTCTGCAAAAGGCGGGAGGCGGGCCCCAGCGCCTAGGCAACTAGTGTCCAATCAAAAGTGCGCCTTGAGCTTCCATTTCTTGAGTTTATAAGTGGAAGCAAATATGACTCACTCTCAAGGAGCCTGGTCCTATTGGATTTCTATGGTTTCAATGCAGAGTGCAGACTGACGTGCGGCAACACACTAAGCAAATGTAGCCCACTTACACTACAGGGGTTAAGGTTTACCACTGTGTACCGGCTGTAAACTGCTTATTATGACTTGGCGTACCACTGCATACCAGCTTACTGGCTTACTTTCACCCTTGGGTGTGAGATAGACCCCCAGATTGAGCAGGAAAAAGCTTGATGCTTGGTAAAATGTCTACTGATTAGAGCCAGGTCGACTATAGACTAATCAAGTCTTTGGTTGAATCTTTGAATGTACATAGCAGTTTTGCTGAAAATGATTTGTGATGTCACTAGAATAATATCCTTCCATTAGTCATGGCTGAATCAGAAATAATGGCGATATATGTGTCCAGTTCAGTTCTGCGTGCTGAAAATACTTCACATATGACATTTCCAAATACCCCGAAAGCTAAATGAATTTAGCTAAGGTCAGAGATTTAAACAGCCGAGCATCACCATATTTGAGCATCACAGACTCGTCTTCGCAATCCACAATGCGTCTATCGTTGTAGTCAGAGCACAGCAAGATTTTTTACAAGACTGACATCAGTACCTGTGAGGATTTGGCTCTGCAGATTAGGTGTAATTGCAGCTGCAGGAAGGAAGAATGGGACGCCGGTGGAGACGGGGACTGCACTTCCCAGGGTCCTTCGCGGGATGGTGACACCGTCGTCGGTTGTCGCTCGAGTGACGTCATCGTTCAGCGCGGTGAATGCAGGTGACAGATGGGATGAAGGAAGACAGCTTAGCACGTGCCGAACCAGATTCTGAGGCTTCGATCCTTGAAGACGTGGGTGAGCGATGGCTGGATGCTGGATAGTGCGTTCAGGATGGGATTGTCGTCCAGGTCTGCAGGTTTGATAGCTGGGTTTGGGCCTCACGCTCTGCGGATGAAGGCGATGGTGCGGCAGCTAAAGCTGGAACTGCTGTGACACTGCGGGAACAGTGTTTTCTTTTCTCTGTCTCTTTTCTGGATACAGAGGAGGAAGAGAGAACTGCAAGTGGAGGATCTATGTGGGTATTTTCCATAAACAAGGTGAAAGCTCTTGATATGAGACACCTCAAGAGCTTGTGTGGAAGGGAACGCGGCTGACATTGCAGGGACTGGCTTCCTCCACCGACCTTACATGCTGCGTTTCAGAAAGCAGTCAGTCTGCCATGATCCTTGTCGTGGGCAGGGATCAACATGATGAAGAGCAAGGTAGGAAAAGCAAGAACGCAGATCTGAGTGTTCTCATGAGTGGGAGCATGCAGAGCGCATGCAGCCTTGAGGAGTGGATGCAGTCTTGCAGAGTGGTTGCAGCAGGCAGAGTAGGCAGGCGAAGCAGTTTAAATAGGGTGCCATTTTTAAACTAGCAAACAGGATGTGAAGAGGGTGATTACCTGAGCTGTCAGTTGACTGAGGGCTGGACCCTTTAGCTTGACTCCGTGACCTACCTGAACTACCACTATGCCACAATATCCCTTTAAGTGACGGCTCTTTTTTTTTTTCCAGAAATTATTTTTTCAGTCAAATTTCTTTTTATTGTAAGCATTTTTTCTGTCCAAAAAAAAAGGAATATGGTTTTAAAATGCCTGCTTAAAGTCTGTTGTCTTGCTCTTGCTCTTTTTCCATGACTGATCTGACAAAAAGGGATTAAATATAAAATATAAATATAAAGCTCAATTTTTCCATCCTCCTCTTCATCCTTTGTTTTCACATAAGTCAGACTGTATATTTATCATAAACTCCAAACAAAAGTGTTGTATTGTCTAAGAACACCCAACTTCTTCCTCTTTTTCGTCATGTCTCCGTCCTGTCAGTCAGCACTCAGGGGACAGTTTGACCACACATCACATACAGACTTCTTTCTCTCTCACTCTTGTCCCTTTAAGCAGGAGTAGTCCTGCAGTCTAATGAGCTTTACTCATACACTGTAGCTCAGCTCAACACACGGCTTCACACAGAGCCATCCAAGTTCACAGGCATTTACCCAGAATGGCTCAAAAGACAGGAAAGAAAAGGAAAAAAAAAACAGAAACAAAGAAAGTCTGAGATGACTCTCCTGGTTAATTGTCCATTGCCCTGGGACTCTGGCTTAACCCATGGCTCATTAGCCATGAGTTTGAACCTCCAGTGACAGGCGCGCACGCGCGCACACACACACACACACACACACACACACACACACACACACATGCAGATGATTGTTACATTTTATCCCCTATCTGCAGCTTTTTACAAAGTCATTTATGTAATTAAATATTACCAGTTGTTGTTTTATCGCTCAGTGATTAAACCCGGTGGCTGAAGTACTAAACCCAGTGAAGAAAAAAATCACAGATGCCAGTGAGGAAATTAACTTATGTCTCAGTGAAATGAAAATGACTCTGTGTGAGGTTTCAATGGGTCATTACAGACTAAATGAGTATCCTTTGGTGACAATTTTACATTTAACTTCACAATAGCTCTGTAACAAATATGGAAGAGGGAGAGAGAGAACCGTAGAAAATCACAGTGGCTGACTTTCTGTCTTTTACAAACCTGATGTTGATGGAATGTTGCAAACCCTGAATATGTTAAAATAACAGCAAAGGGGCTGTTAGTTTGATTTCCATTGTAAGCGAACTGTCACTCCCCCTCCGTCCTGACATTTTCTTTTTAACATTATTTGTGTTCAAGGACTGAACTATGCAAAGGCATTTAGATTATTTGGATCCATTCAGGAAGTATGTAACTGTTTACTTATTCAATCAATCAATCTGGTGATACTATTCTTCTAACTTGTTGGAGATGGCATGAAAAAATACATAGCAGCAGCTTGGTTTCAGTGCAAATACGCAGGACACAACTTTCTTGGAACAATGAAGAAGTTATGGTTGGGGAGTGACAGGTATGGCCAACAAGTATGTCAACAAGTATAGTTCTGAAAATGTGAGTGGTTGGTAACCATCCAGGCTAAACGGGTAGGAAACACAAAACCAACTATAATTTAAAGTGTATTTATGTTTTTGGGCTTAGCCTTTTTCACAGTAAATTTAATACCACTGTGAAGAGTTTTATATGCTTCTGAAACACACTGCAATTAATAGCGGTGCTACTAGTTTATCAACAGTACACAAAGGAAACAGCCTGTTTTCAGTCTTTCAATTTATCAATCAAGCTTGATTTATTTAGCACTTTTCATACAAGTCAAATGCAATCCAAAGTGCTTCACAATGATTGGAAACAAATAAGCTAAGAGTGAAAATACAAATGAAATAAATGACAGAAAATGGAACAATTAAATGGAAAAAAAAAAGAAAAACTGGATAGGTAGAGACTCATGCACACCAAAAGCAGTCAAGTATGTGTCATGAACACAATAAAGGGGATAAAAATACAAAAGGTTTGGTGTGTCACTTTGTCCACTAGGGGTGCAAAAATAAATACAAACAAATGGTTCCTTAAAGAAGCTTAAAGCCAAAATGGGAGAAGGTCTGCTCGGATGGAACAGTGATGCTTTTTGACAAAAATATGTTAATTCTTTTATTTGTCAGGGCATCTGAGGACTGTAAGGTAAATGTAGAGTTCTTGAGGTGTTACAAATACGTACGCAGTGACTACTTTTATGTGATATTGTCCATTAAAACAGCTCTACTATTTCCTTAGCTTTAGTCATATATCATTGTATGACTCATGACATCTTATTATATCTTACCTTTTAAGTTTCCTTTAAACTGCTAGAGTGTATGAGGAGCGTGGGATTATCATGGATCCTGTCCTTATTGAATGGAGCTCAACAAAAGAGGTGTTCTAAATACAATGGTCTCCAGTTTTACACTTGCACTGAGACAACCTGGATGATAAAATATAATAACCCCAACACTTACCTGACTGTGTCAATCAAAATGTACAAGATAACAGCAAAATTCAGGGTACAGGTGCTGTATTACAGTATACTGTAAAAGTTTATTGATAAAAAAAGGCCAAATGCACTATTGCTTTAATATTTAAGTAATACTCAGTAAAATATGTGCTACTGAAATACATATTTTGTTATTCATATTCTGGCTCAGCAAGAGTGAGAGCGGGGCAAATGGAAATGTGGAAATGTTCATTCACTTCAGCTTTTATCAAGAACTACAAGTTATCTTGCCAGATAGGATGAAAAGATGCTGAATCAAACCACAAATCCTTCTTCTAACTGGCAGTTCTATCGATACAACACCCTGAAAGGCCGAATTATTGAAATACAAGGTCAAAAATCTTTATATGTCAATGCGAAGTATCAGAAGAGAAGTCAGTACTCAGCTTCTCTCAGTGATCCAGTCCAAAGGTCAATTGGCCTTTGATGCTTGGTAACAAGCAAATGCTGACCTCCTATTTACTGTGTGCGCTCTCTTCGAGGACCTGACTGAGCCTTTGACAAAGCTTTCAAAAGGCTGTCTGAATAGTGAATGATAGCAGCTGAAGATGTCTTTCATTAGGAAAAAAAACACTTCTTTCCCACTTCTACTCATGCAGGGTCACAGATTTATTTTTCTAGTGTGTGTTTGAATAAAAACAAAAGACTAAAAGAAGTACAGGAAGAATTCCTGTTACCCTTGATGAAGGATAGTGGTTTTATTTTCTCAGCTGCTCAAATCAAACTCAGGCTGACAGCTACACACGGGAGAGAAGAAATTTCTTTACTCCGACAAGTACAGAACAATGGCTGGTCTTAACTTAAGGTTGTAAGGTCTTGAATTACTACTATTTTTTTTTCTCAGATCAAGTTGAGTTTTGCTGTAAAAAACAAAACAAAAAAAATGTGGTTTCAATATAATCAAGTGTTATTTTCCATTACAGATATCCAAGCTTTGACCCTGGTGCCCCACTCTGCAGGCCAGAGTCCGAGAAGTAGAGAGGACGATCGCGGACCAAGTGTGTGGGGCAGCAGATTGCAATGCTCACAAGAAAGCTAATTATGAAAGTTGCTTTCATCATGTCCCCAAAGACATTAGTGTCTGAGAGCTGAATAGCTCATATGTTACCTGCCACTAAAACAACTGGCAATGTTAGGCTGCAAACTAGCATGAAGAGAAGTGTACAGAGCAGCGCTGTCTCCACCCACGACTCAGAGGTGAATTGCTAATGAGCTACTGGAGCTCTGCAAAAAAAAAAAAAAGCCCATGAAAATGACACAGGTAAAGTGGCTAAAAACTTCATACTCACAACTTAAAGACCACTGATAAGACTTTAAGTAGGAAACAAAAATGATCGGAGTGGGACTTCAGGAGACATGTTTTTATTAGGCATGTCAAGAGTGCAGGTCATAAAAAATGACCTTCAACTTGGAGTTTCATATCACTTCTATAATTAGACTTGATAAAACTTGATGAAAGACTTTTTTCAGCTAAAGAACTGAACGTCATGTTAGCTCAGCTCGCAGCCCCAAAACCCCAGCTTAAGCGCTTGAGACTGTGTTGTCTAGAGTGTCAGATATAGTTTATATTTATATACAGTATTTTTATTTTCCATTTTATTTACTTGTGAGCTAATGTTTTCTTTTTTTGTTTTCTTGTAATGACAACAGCATTTCAGGTCTGATTCTGATAAAAGTCACATAGAGTCTGACCTTTTCAAATTTAGATTTGTACCATTAACATTAGGGATCCAGTAACCCGATTTTGAAATTGCAGTCTGGACATCAGGATGGGTGGAAGTGGGTGTCAGTCAATGACAGCAAACACTGAAAACAGCTGCAACAGTGGTAGTCAGACAAGGGACAGAGAGGTGTTAGATTGCACAACAATGAAAGCCTCCACATTGACATAGCAGCTATTTTTCCACAGAAAGCCATCATCCAAATTTTGACTCGCTTTCTTCTGTCCCTCCTCCTCACTTTTACTTTTCTGGCTTCCACCACACAACAATTACTCCAGTGGCCACCTTGTATCATAATCACTGTGCCTGCATTTGAGGTCTTAGTCATAGTTCTTTTGAGCATGTGGGACAGTTTATGCACAGTTCACATGAGACTCTAAGGTAAAACAGCCAACAAGCAAACAAAATAAAGCTTGTGGGTGATAAAATGGAATTAAGCATGAAAGCCTGTAGTGTGAAAGTAGGCCCAGTTTTAATGTAAAACTGCTTAGATCATTTTGACTTTCACATTAAGCTCTCAGCAGACCTCTACAGAAACATTGCTTCTTGGTATAAAACTTTGGAAAAGATTAACACAGGGTATCAGAGACGAGTAATCTACAATCAAGCTTTGCACTACTACGAGATAGGCTTAAATTGCTGCAACTCAGCAGGCAGCCTCGGCTGAAAGTTGAGTTGAGTTAAATTGTGAAAATGATTTGCGGCCTTTTACGGCTGTTGAGTAATAGTACAGCTGAAGATTTTAAGTCAAAGCAGTGTCTGTCAAAAAGTAAGCCGTCTCCACACTGTAAAGAATTTCACCATAAAAAGTAAATCGTGGTAGCATAGACTCCTGTATTTTACTGTTATTTATAGTGCATGGACCGTGCTTCATTTTAACAGTACAAAAACATGAATAGACTCCAGTATTTTTTGATAGTAAATTCACAGGGTTTTACTGTATTGATTTTTTTTTTTTGTATACATCTTACCCACAAATGATAAGAAATTATACTATTTATGCATATATCTACACATAGAAAATACAAAGTAATGAATATTTTATTCCACGGAGCTGTAATTCATTTCCCCTAATGTCCACTAATGCTATTTGTTCAGCTGAGAACAAAACAGATTATTAAACATGTGCCATAAATACATTACAATATTACTATCAAAACTAATCTTAAACCTCTTGAGGGGTTGCTACAGCATAAAAAATTAATACATTTTAGCAATTTATTCTAGTGTCGTATGTATCTTGCATTGCTACAACAATCACTAGGAAGTCTGCATCCTTTCAAAAACAAAAGCACAATCAATTATAAAAAAAGGGGTTATAGACCATTATGAACTTAATGTAGTTAGAAAGGCAAAATTAAAGTATCACATGGACTGTCTCATTTTAAAGGTCTAACCAAAGTAGGTTAATCAATGCAGCCTTTACTAACACGTTTACAAGCTGAGGTATAGAGAATCAAGGAAAGCGTGTCAGAACTGCACCACGATTTCATCTTAAAATGTAGCTTTTGTAAATACACTGCTCAACAGTAAACGCTAAAAAGAGAAGTGGAAAAACATACACCAGTGATGCTTCCTTTATTTAATCTGTTTAGGGTTTATTAAGAGAAAGGTCATCACACAAAAAAGCAATAAATAAACATTTAAAAATATTTAAATGAAATCTCCTTAATGTCATTGGTTTCAAGGCTGCTTTTTAAAAAATTAAGTGTGTGAGCAGAGCTTAATGGATCTGAGGACAGGAAGCTCAGAGAAAGATGTAAGGTCATGTTTGTGAAGAAATACCCTTGTGATGTTGACAGGTTAATATTTGTGTCATACATGAATAGATGTATGAGGAGGAAAAATAGCTGAAAACAAGGTAATAAACAGGAGTGACAAATAAATACAAACATAGCTCACAATAGACCTATGTGTTGTTTTCACACATTCAAAAAAGTGTTAATTAATACACTTGGTAGTGGTGGGAGGTTCGTTTGAGAGTTGACTTCATTAAAATTGAATTAATTAATTTTTGTATATTGCCCACACTAATCATTACTTTCCACCACCATCCAGGTTTCAGTTTTCAAATCAGATTGTACCTTTCAATAGAGATGTAAACCCTGTGTTCCATCAGTCACCATGGGAAACGTCAACTCTCTGCCCAACAAAAGCGTTGAGCTTGGAGATATTGGTGAAGACTTAGAAAGCATACCGTGAGTGCCGCATCCTTTGCTTTACTGAAACCTGGTTGAATCAAAACAACTCGGATTCATTGTTGTTCTACCTTCACTCTCATGAGGTCAGACAGAGATGCTAAAGCTCGTGGCAAGAAGAAAGAAGAGGGGCTGGCTGGCAGTTATGTGATGATGGAAATCTTCACACATAACTGTCATGTAGAAGTTGTGTTGTCCAGATATTGAACTGTTGGCAGTTGCTCTTCAGCCAAATTATGTTCCAAGAGAATTTAGTCATTTCATAAAAATATTTGTATACATCCCAACCAAGGCAAAGGCTTAAGTTCCTTGTAACGTTCCCTGTGATACTGTTGCTAGGACACAGATTCAACATCCTGAGGCACTTGTGCTAATATCAGGAAACTTCAACCTGGATTTACACAGTTTGTTAATTGTCCTACCAGAGTAAACAAAAGCTTGGATCTGTTGTATGCATTGAAAAGTAAATAAATGAATTAAACATTATCAAGCTTGATGTTTGTGCTAAGTTGGGCGAGTTTTTTGGGCATATGTGGGCCATCAAACGTTATTTATTTGGACAAAAAGGAGGAGGGAAGGAAACAAGGAGGAAAGAAAGATGGAAGGAAGGCATAAATCTTTCTTTTGGTTCCAGTAGGCGTCCTAAAATATTGAATATGATTTTTTGAAATCTGACTTTTAGGCTTAGTGAAGAGGTTTTTTAGTTTTCACAGGGAGGCACAACCTATTGCCACTGCAGCGTGGCTCTGCTCTTGAACCTTTGTAATTTTGATGCTTGATTCACCTTACAATTTTTTTTTCTCTTTTGATATTCATTTGAGCATGGCCTGATATTTTTAGAGGGAGTTTCCAAAAAAATACAGAGTGAAATAATTCTTCGTAGTAGCACAGGAGATAAAATAGAAGCAGTGGAGTGGAGAAGAACTCAATCTTCTGATGCCATTCATGTGACCAGCCAGGACTTGGCAGCCTCATATTCAAACTAAATACAGTCTGGTAGGTCTTGTATAATGGAGCGTGACTGTGAATGGAGACAGTTGACAGATAATGAATGTGGGTAAGAGAGAGAGAGGATGGAAGAAGGAGCATCATGAGCAAAAGAGGAAGTCATTCCTTCACTTACAAGCTGGCATTCAGTCACAACCGCTCGCTGACTTTTCACGCTCATGCTTGAGTTAAATGCACCAAGTGAAGGGGTGACCAGAGGGAACAAGGATGAGAGAAAGAGGCTCAAACAGGAAAAGGCAGTTAGACTATAGCGTGTGTAGCAGACTCTAGTAGAACTAGGAGTGTGTAATAGAGGAAGCATGAACAGCAAAAACCACAAAAAACAATTGGATTCAGTCAACCACTTGTGGACTTGTCAAATTAATAGTCATGTTAAATATGGCTGCACAGGCAGCTCATTGTAAAGACTGTCTACAGTATCTGGGCCATCATAAAGAACCATTAAGACTGGCTAATAAAGAAAGTTCTCTCAGCCCAGAAAATGAAGTCATCAGAGCAGTTAGAGGATGGCCTAAGGCGGGGATGGAAAAGAAAAGACGGAAAATGAAGGAAGTAAGTGGAGATAAAGAGGGAGAGGGAGAAAAAAAAGTGTGCGTGTTTGCAGAAAAGAAAAGCAAGTGAAAGAACGAGAACAAACTGTCCCAGAGGACCACTCATCCAGGATCTAATATAGTCGTATTCCCTCTGTATGTCTGTTAATTACTTCCTCTGTAGCCATTACGGTGAGCAGTGTGGGCTGGTAGGAATACCTGGAAAATGAACTGCAAGCAGAGCGAACTGTATCTGGGTTAATTACTTTATCTGCTAGTGCGACAATGAAGAGCTCCATTTCTTACTGAGTGCCTCAAGCTTATGTTTAACATGGCTGTATGTCACAAAATGAGGATGAACTCAGGAAGTGTTATAAAATATGAAAATAATATAACCCCTTTTTAAAATGATTATAGACTAATGTTGAATAAACTCCATGGTGTCAGTCTAATAACTGTAGTACTCTAAGTACTTTGTTCTCTAATTAAACAGCTTCTGTAAAGGTTGGGGTAAAAAATAACTGAGATGTATTTTTTTTTTTTCTTTTAATATTCACTCTGTTAGGGCTTAAGGCAAGTACTTAATCCCAACATCAAATTGTTTAAATTACGTTACTTTTTGCAGTACTTTTGCAGTACAGATAAATGTCAAGGTACCTCAAAGTTTATGGAACTCATGAAGTATTTGTCAAAGCTATAGACTGTATATACTGTGGACAACTTGGCTGCGCCTTCTGTCATCATACGAATTTGAAGCCGAATTGCTCTTGGTATTTTCTGGATTTTCACTGTAAATTGCTGTGATGCACTCGGCTCGTATCCCCCAGATGATCTACGCAATCCCTGAACGCCCAAAGGCTGTATCAAGTGTCAATCATAGAAAACATGAACCCCCTAATGACTTTTAAAAATGGAGCTGCACAGAAAAAAGAGGACTTGAGCACAAACCAGTCTTACTGTAACTACATGTCAACATCACAACCAGGGAGGAGAAAAATGTATATTCAGTGTAATTAATTTCTAAAGTTTGTCCACAACTCCATGGGGATTGTTGGAGAAAGTGGGATTTATGACCTATACTGCAGCCTGTCACCAGAGGGTGCTGTTCTCACGGTGGCGTCACCCAGCTAGGAGGCAGACAGTGTCCATTCTATATACATGGTCTATGGTCAAATATCACAAACAACAGGAAGAATTTAACAGAACAGTGATTAAACACATACCCAAATCTAAACCAAGGATCAAACTCGGCTACTTTACACAAAATCTCAAATGTAGAGAGCGATGCGGTTGCTTTCACCTATTAGTGGTTCATCTTTAAGAGATGTTTGCTGAGTAATGGTTACCTTAATTCCATAACTACTTGAGGTAACTAGAAATCTGTCTTTTCCAATCGCTCTACTGATGCAATAGACTAACCTCACTACCCACTTGATTCAACAACTGACTGCTGTCTCATAAATGAAACTTTTTGCTCTTCCATAGGTTGGATGTAGTAGAGTTGTGAAAAAAAGATGTGCTGTGACTATTTCTATACAGAGCACCAAAGAGACTATGAGAGAGTTCTCTGAGCTTTTGTTTCCTGCATTGAAACTTGTACAAGACACAAGATGCAAACTCTTCATGAGAATTCTTCACTTTGTAGGACTGGCCTCAGTCTCTGTTAGCTGTTTTGTTTGAGTGAGAGTGACACAACAGCTGCCAGTACAGAAACTGATAAAAAGGTTGAGAACTTTTCACAGGACATGCTGAGAGAGCACCCAGAATAGCAAAGCTGGCACACTAGTATCCCTGCTTAGCAAGGTGCCATTTGAGCGAAGGGATTCTGCTTATAGACTTATGGTGGGAACCAGTTGTGCTCCTTACTGACACCTGTCCAGGTAGGCAGAAAACTGAACATTGTGAGTCTGGTGGATAGGTTCTGAATAAAAGGCAAAAAGACAGACTGCCTTCTGATGTTTCCTGTAGGAAGCCATTCACTTTCATCCAAGGGCTAATTGACCTTGTTCAAGTGCTGCTGAAACACCAGTTCCCTCTTGATACTAACACTGCATCCAAGGAATAGTTCCACCAAAGATAGCTGGGATTGATTTGTAATTTTCTCCTATTTTTCATATCTTTCTGTAAAACTGTCACAAAGCAGTGCGAGGATGTGTGTACATTTAGTATGTGTATCATAAATTCAAAGCCAATACTTTTGCCATCTTGGGGGGATTCTGTTGACAATTCTAGTGGTTTTCATCAAACCGGGCTGGTTGATGTAAGCTCTGTCATTTAGCGACATGCTTTCTTGCTCTCATCAGTCACATACAATTAGCCGACATTCATCACTCCCTCTCTCTCTGCAACTAACCCCCTACCAAGTGGCTTGTGCTGGCCTCCATACGTCTTTCCTCCCTCATCCTCTCCCTGTCATTGACAATTGATCTCATATACAACAATGTGCTGACGGCAATCTCCACTGTGCACGACATGAAAGAGTGTGAGCATGAAAGAGCGAGCTGTAACAGAGGGAGAGTAGGAGTTTGCTCTAACAATACCACGCTTTATTAAAATGTCAAACACAAAGGACTAACAGAAAAAAAGGGATATTACTTGTACCAGAAGCATATTAGGCAGAAGTAGAATTCTTGGAGTGAGATAAAAATGTCAGTAGAACAGAACTGATTCTCACCTACTATGTAAAAGCTTGCTGGTATGATCACATGCCTTAAAAAAAAAGGTGATAGACTGCTTTCACAGGTTAAATGAAATTAGATCAAGAATGTTTTTTATCCCTGTTTCACCGAATTGAGTCGCTGAACATTGAAACTGGTCGAGGCTGAATTCAGCTGCTTTGATTGGTTTCCACAGAAAAGAAAAAAAAGATAATCAATACCCTACATGGTGTTGCTATAGTTGAAGATAATATTCACCCTTTTGTTGAAGATAAGGATGCTACATTTTATAAAGTAGTCCCATCAACACGGATAGCATGGACAAAAAAAAGTTAATTTTGACAGCTATTCTAGATTTAGTCCTAGTCTTAATTTTTGGGCTAAAATTACCTTCAGCTAACCTCATTTTGTAGTCATTTTTGCCCTTGATAGTTTTAGTCAAGTTCAAGTAAAGAAAAATTTCAAAGCAGTAACTTTACTTAAAGACCCACTCTGGTGAAATCTTTTTGAATTTTTTGTCTACATGTTCATATGAAATTTTTCTGAAGGTACAGGACATATCAAGAAAAATGAGTGTGAAATTACATTTCTGAGTATTTCTGCATTCATATCCCTGTGAATCTCTGGCAGACTCAAACAGCAGGCTGAGATACAGTGAGATTTCCTATGAAGCAAATCCAAGCTCCACCCCCCGAAGCCCCGCTATGCAGGCCAGACTAAGAGAAATAGAGAGAATGATCTCGGAACAAGAGTGTGCATTAGAGGATTGCAATGCTTGTAAGAAAGCTAATTATGATATTAACTTTCACCATGTGCCCAAAGATATGTGTCTGAGAGCTGAATAGCTACTATGTTACCTGCTACTTCTACTACACCAACAATGTTAGGCTGCAAGCTAGCATGAAGAGGAGTGTGCAGAGCAGTGCTGTCTCCACCCACAACTCAGAGGCATAGTGCTAATGAGCTACTAGAGCTCTGCAGAAGAAAAGCCCTGGAGAACAACACAGGTGACGTGATTTTGGCTAAAAACGTTATCATCACAATTTAAAGACCACTGAAAACACTGTAAGATGTTTAAAAAAAAAAAAAAATAGATCGGAGTTGGACTTTGATGTTTTTATATGGAATTAACATGGCAGAAAATATAAGAAGAAAAATCAAGCTTTATTGATTTCTCTAGCAACTTGTCTGAATCATTTCATTACCACACTATACTTGCTTGGGGTCTCTACTAAAAAAGAACTGTTCAAATGGACATAAATGTTTTTTTTTTTTAAGGATAGAACACCCATTTTAATTGGAAAATGTGGCTTTACGTGAAAACAGCTAAGAACTCTGGATAAAAAGGCACATTTCCAAGGTTTCCAAAGTGAATTAAATGCAACAATGCTCTAAAACTGAAGTATTGGGTGCTATTACTGCAAATAAAGGCATCAGCAGACATAGGCCATAAGCCATTTGTTTTTTTAGCTAACAATGCTTCTAATTTTGGAAAGTAGATGAGAAGCATAAATGGCCTTGGACTGGCAGTGATCAACAGGCCACCAACTATGCAACCTGTCAATCAAGATGGACACAGATCTAGTTGTTTGAACATTGTCAAGCATGGCTCCAAAGCTTAAAGATGGCAACCACAAGGTCAGTCTAAAACAGTAATCCACCAATTAGTGGCTGATGTAAATGAGGCAATAACACCTTTTCATATTTGGCTTGTGATACAAACATAAATTTTATTCAGAATATAGACAGAACATGACTACAAAATTAGCTGGCAGTACTAAAAGCATGAGTTCATGCAATTCGATCACAAGTTTTGGTGACTAAGCTGTATAAAAAAAAAAACTTATTTGCTTTTCAGAGCCACTGCTGAGGTGAAAAAAATAAAGCTCTCCCCATAAATGTAATAAATAAATGACAAGAGATTGTGAGGGAGTACTTAGCCTGATTTGAAAACCCAACCAATTAAGTAATAAGACCTTGGGAACTTGTGCCTGCTGTTCTCTTACCAAAGCAAGGTGTGCTGTATGAGTAGACTGCAGAAACACGACTTTCGCACAAAGCAGAAATGTGGAAATGAGAATGTGTGAGGCAGACAACATGGAATGAAAACATTGAAAGTTTTGAACTTTTGGGGGTTTCTGGGAACTTTTCTTCCCTCTTGATTTCTCTTCCAGCAGGGAAGAAAAAAAATCACAAGCCAGTATTTTTTTCTTGAGTCTCCAACACATCACAGAGATAATAAATAGTACAGGGACATGTTAATGGAGCAAGTCAGGATGTTGGCAAAGTCTATGGAAAGCAATCATCCCATCTGATAAAAATACAACAAAGTTTAAAAAGTAAAATACATATGGCGCTTTCTCTCTTCATCTTTGTTTCTTTACGTGACGCACCCCCCTGTTGTTCAGTGTCTTCCTACATCACTCCGTCTCTATACTGTTGAAAAAGAAAAGGGATCAGGAGACTAGGAACTGTCTACCATCTTTAAAGTACAAAAACAAAGTCAACAAATGCACATTCACAAGCTTATACAGGCACACAGACACAAATAGACATAACCACATGATGTCTCACTGTACAGACAGAAAAGAACAAACTCCTCTCTCTTTACCTTGAAAGCACACATCATCCTTCAGCCCAATTTTCACATCACAGTAAAGGCAAGTTTTTGTGTGTTTTTATCTTGGAAGATTTTACACATATACAATATGTACGAGTTTTCCTACAATAGCAGAACCCTATAGTACATGCTGTTTTATCCTTTGTTAGGTTATTATGCAGTTTTCTAGTGAGCCTCAGCCTTACAGGAAAAAGAAACACTGAAGTATCCAGAGAAGGAAACTTGATAGTTAATCCAGTACGGGGGAAAAAAAGCACTGCCATAATGGTACAATTGACCCTGCCCACTTAAGTTACTGTTACTAACGCGGACAAACAACCAGAGCTGAGCAGAGGAAGAACAAAAGGAAGATTGAATGACAGGTGTGTACCAGCAGCAGAGTCAGCACAGGTTCCAATTAACTATTTTTTTATAAGCCATTTGTAGAAATGAACACTGAAACGGCCCCAATATTTGGCCAAAGTGATAATCCACTCACCCCTAATTTTCACAGATTTTACCCAGATTAATCTAAAGAAGTAGGAACAGCAGTTAATAAAATAATGCATTCAAACATATCTGTGCCGTCCCATGAAAAACACATATCTCCACTTTTAGCGATCTGGACATTTGACAATATATGCATGGTCCAAACAACCTAACCTTTCCTAACAACCCGTAGCTTTGGTCATTCAAATGACTGATGGAAAGACCTTTTATAAAATCATCTTTTCAACAAGTATCGCCATTGGGTGTCAGACGTGTTGACAAAACACGTATATCCCGCCCTGGCCCTGCGTTGTCATGTCAGCAAACAGACTTTACACTGTGACAGACTCTTTACAGTAGGGTGACCATATGTCCTCTTTTACCTGGACATGTCCTCTTGTGGGGGGCTGTCCAAGGAGAGGGGGAGTTTATAAAACCCTTCAACTGTACTTTCCCTTCACATCACAGACCACTGTATTTACCATACACGTTCAATGGCTCATTTGGAAACACACTCTAAGACACCAAACCCCGGAACGGAGTTCAGCGCAGTTCCCTCTGCTGCTCTGATTCACTCCTAGCTCCTATTGGTCCTATGCCTATAGAGCGCCTTATTTAAAACTGCACTAACCCAGCCTCTTCCTCTGCTTCGACAGCTAACCAGCAAGCTGCTGCAACCGTTCTGCATGCTCCCACTTTTAAGAACACTCAGATCTGCGTTTTTGCTTTTTTACTACCTTGCTCTTCATCATGTCGATCGCTGCCCACGACAAGGATCCATGGCAGAATGAATGCTTTTCTAAAACGCAACATCAGCAATGCAAAATCGAGGAAGACTGTCCTTGCAATAACAGCTGCATTCCCTTCAGGAGGAGTTCTCCTCTGCAAAGTAAAACTTCTATTTCTCCCAGCTTCAATGAGCGGCCGGAGTCTAGGCTCCTGGAAGTCCTTTAAAAATAACATCACAGCTCCAGATGGTGTCTCACATCAAGAGCTTTCACCTTGTTTATGGAAAATATCCACATAGATCCTCCACTTGCAGTTCTCTCTTCCTCCTCTGTATCCAGAAAAGAGACAGAGAAAAGAAAACACTGTTCCCGCAGCGTCACAGCAGTTCCAGCCTCAGCCGCCGTGTCATCGCCTTCATCCGCAGAGCGCGAGGCCCAAACCCAGCTATCAAACCTGCAGACCTGGATGACAATCCCATCCTGAAAGCACTATCCAGCATCCAGCCATCGCTCACCCACATGTCTTCAATGATTGAAGCCTCAGAATCCGGTTTAGCTCATGCTAAGCTGTCTTCCTTCATCCCAGCTGTCACCTGCATTCACAGCGCTGAAATAAATAAATACATTTTTGACAAAGTGTTCCTGACTGAAATGAATATATCGTTTATAAATGCAACTTCGTGTGAGTATTATTCAGTGTCAGCAAGAGGCTTGGTTAAGTGTCCTTTTGGTCGTTCAGAATATGCGGTTAACTGAGTTAGGAGCCGATAAAACACTTGACCTGACCTGGAGAACCCTAAAAAAGTTGCACACACAACTCCGCCCGGCATAGTAGTGTCCTCTTTTTGGGGATTCAGAATATGGTCACCCTACATTAGAGTCCAGGGTAATGCTACACTGATGTCCTCGCATCGACTGATGCTGACCTTAAACGTCATTGGAGCACATTATTGAAAAAAAACAAACAAAAAAAAAAACACGCATGTCCACTATCACTCAAAACACAAAGCATGTAAGTCTGTTTAAAATATCAAACAGGTCACTGATGACTGTGTAAATATGGATTTTGATTTCAGGTCCTACTTGTGTCTAATTAAGGCGTTTGGGTTTTTCTCTCTAAGGTAGTTTATGATTGAAAATGTTTTTTAATGTTCCTGAAAACAAACAAACAAAAAAAAAAAATCACATTTTGGAGATACATTTTTTTTATCGGACAGTGTAGATATGCTCGGTAAACTCCGTGAGCTCATGTCTCAGTACCAAAACCAGGCCTCTGAAACCAAATTTGAAAGTATACTTAAGACCACTTGCAATGTGACACACATGGACTATTGTCAAACCTGAAGTGCCTGAATGACACAAGAGCCGTAAAAGAACAGCCTCTTCCAGCTTTGATTTTGTCTGGTTCCTGAGTAGAGCTCTGCACTGTGTCTTGACAGCAAAATTGTTTTCAGAGACAAATGATGGTACTCTGTTTCTCATGCTTCAATGTAGAAAGCTTTGTCTCCAGTGTTCCACACTGGTGCTGCCATTGTTACCACAGCAACAAATGCATATTAGCATCTTCCACAAAAATCTTTCTGATCACTGTCAAAATACAGCAGGGAAGTTTTGTTTGAAAGATGTATGACTGGCATGAATCTGATTTTATGGAAATCAATACAAAGCCACATTGTCTGGACTTAGAATGGGATAATACAAATGTGGACTTGTGTATTTAAAATGAAATAATCTTTGTTTAAATCTTAAATTAATCCACTGATTGACTTCACTCATGGCTGAGATTATCTAGTATTTGCAGCCACCTGGGTCTGACTCCCCAAATGTGTGTGAACATGAAAATGCAATGAAACAAGGTTTTTCTTCCCACAAATGAATCATCAAGTAACTAACTGAACAAACTTAGTCACAAAAGCATTTTTTCTTTTTCTTTTTTTTTTTAATTGGTCAATAAGCATTATCATAGTCTGGTGTCCTGAGAATCAACCTTGAACATACTCAGCTTATTTTTTTGACCATTGTGTGCAGTATTCATTTGGAGGCTCTTGTGGCTTTGCTCTGCCCAAACAGGACACGCCACAATTCTCCTAAGCACTATGCATGACAAATTCTAACACACAATTGAATGCCTGAATGAACACGAAACCTAATCTTGCATAGCCAGACGTCTGCCTCATCAAGTTCAGTGAGTCTGGAGAAACTGAGGCACAAAAGTTGGTTAAAAAGAGCAGGGACACAGTGAGCTGTCTTTGTAACTTATACCAGTAAAAAAGAAAAAATAATACAAAGAACTTGTTTGTCCACAAACCAAAACCAATCAAAGGTGCAGTTTCTTCAAGAATAGTGAAGGTAATAGATGGGAAAGGACAGTGAAGACTGGACAAACTACTGAAACTTGACAGGAGCATGACATTTGGGGAAGAAAAAGGCTCTGACAAAAAAGGAAAGTAATGAGCCTGTCTGACAGCTTGGTCTATTTGGGAGGTCAGGAGGTCGAGTTTTGACACATAATTCATCTTCCAATAGTTACAAGCATCAGTTATGGGTTTATTTTTGACATTTTGTTTAACATCCATAGAAGTAATGGGCTAGGGGAAAAAAAAACACTTTTGTCGCAGTTGGTGTTTTTTTTTTTTTTTTCCAATCCTGTGTCCATCGTGAACTCAATATCAATTCTAGCATCACGTCAGTGCTCTGGACTGAGCTGTTGCATTGCAATAGTAAAGAGAACATGAAAAAAAGCGGTCAAGTATCTGAATTCAGAAATGTTCTGATACTACCTTACCTTTCTGAAACCAATTTCAATCTCAAGACTTGAGAGTTGGCAGATATACCCCTCCAATACCAGAGGGATAAAAAAAGATAATATCAGTGAAAAGTACTTACTGCTGCTGACACAGTACAAGGATCACGTCCATTGGTTCTCATCTTTGGACGAAAACATGGAAAATGACCAATATGACTTTGGAGCACAGTAAAATTTCATAGCTACCTCAAGTCACCACCACATCACCATCCTTAAAGACTGACCACTGCTGGCTCACTTCACACACACACACACACACACACACGCACACACACACACACACACACACACACACACACACACACACACACACACACACACACACACACAGTGCTGTGGTTTACAGTAGCTTTGTGTTGTGGTTTAGTTTTCTTCAGTTTGGTTGATGGCTCTTTAACTTAGCCTCTTGTGCACTTGAACATCCTGATATAAGAGGTCTTGTATCTTCCAAAAAATTGAAAGTGAAATGTTGTTTAAACATGTTTCCATTGTTTTCTACCAATCAGAGATGGGAATTGAGAGACAGCTCCAACTTGTCCAAGCCATCAATATCATTTGGCTTTATGCTCCTTGTTTCCCTTCTCAATGCCTTCCTTTTAATTGAGTTTGCCTTGCAAGACATTGGCATGACATATTGCAAGAAATATCTCTGGGGTTACACTCTGTGTTATTTGTGTTATCCAGCCAGGGGCGTTTTTTTTTTTTAAATTTTTATCCATAGTGATACTCAGCATTTTTAGAGTCCAAATCCAACCCCTCAGAAACCAAAGTAATCTGAGGTGATTTATGTCTCTATTTTGGTAAATTAGTGTCATTTCTGTTGTTAGCTGACTATACTAGATAGAGGCTACCATCTTTGTTTTGGTTTGTCATTTAATCAGAGGCTGTATAGGCAGAGATCCGGTCAAAACCAGGCTTTTCTGTCTCAGCAGAGCATCAAAATGTAACATGTTGAAAACCTTCATAGGCCTACTCTTCTAGGGAGTCAAACAAGAACTGGATTGAAGAGCAACATTTTGATCGATCAGAACCATGTACTAAACACAGCATTTTTTTTTTGTTTGTTTGTTTCAAATGAAACTTCATATGTTTGGTATGTGATGATTGAACGGGATAATAAGTCGAATATTCATACCTTCTACAGTGAAGACTCGTCACTGTTATTCTTGGGATTTCTGTTGGATTTCTAGACTCTGCGTCATAGTTATGACATGAGGACTCTTTTGGAGAGCAGTGGCATAGTGAGGGGGAGACAAGCAAGAGAGGGATGGGAAGAGGCAGAGTGAGCTGCAGAAAGAGAAAAGATAAGAGTATTTAGCCCATTATTTCCAGGGGCTAGGTCAAAATGAATAAGAGTCAGTGAGAGAATGAAAAGTCTTCTTCAAAGAGCCAAGAAGACTTGGCTATTATTCTGCGTCTGAAAAGTGACACTCCACTCTAAGTGCTCTGCTTTAGGATGGCCTTGGGAGGTTAGGACCATGAATGTCAAAGTTGATTTCACACTCTGTAACTCTCTGGACTGTCTGATAGATGTGGCAGCTGTGAGCACATATACACACTGACATAGGACAATACACACAAATGTCTGTAAGCAAATACCGCGTGCACAAATTTACAGGCATGCATGAGAATATTTACAGAGGGGAAGGCAAACAGGGATGCTTTTATGCATCGTCATATAATCTGGTATGGGCAGTAACACATGCACGTCTTCATATTACACACATGCATCAAGTAAATGCTGTCCTGCTGCCACAAAAAAGAACAGAACCCTAAAGCAAGCTGAGACAAGTTGGTTTTTAGATATTGAGTTTTATATTAAACTCACTGAGGCTGGTGAAAAAAAGTGGCTGGTGGGGTTAAAAGAAAGCAGGGCTGGCTGATGGAGGGATCTATGTTGGCACAACATCCAGAAGGAACTGAGTTTCTATAGGAAACCTTTTATTGCATGATGGTAGATGAACGACTAAGGCCCATCTTACCTGGATAACTTGACATTGAAACATGACATCAAACCATTTATGTCTAGAAACAAGATATTTAAGTCAAGGAGCATTTTTTAAGAAAAAAAAAGACATTTATTCTGTCATTTAAAGTTAACAGAATCTATAGAGTCTGTGGGAAATATAAAGGACTGATAATTATGTGTAATATTCTGTGTAAATCTGTGTAATAAATTTTAAAAGTTTGTCCACAGCTCCATAGGGATTGCTGGAGGAGGCAGGATTTATGACCTATTCTGCAGCCCGTCACCAGAGGGTGCTGTTCTCAGGGTGGCTTCACCCAGCCTGGAGGCAGACAGCGTCCATTCTACTGTATATATAGTCTATGGTAAGAATGTAAACATTCAGAGCTACGAAGATAAGTACCAACTAAAGTATTATTCAAACCATTTTTCTATTTTTAGTTTACCTTTTATTATTGGAGTCAGAGAAGTAAATCAGGTCTTTTTTTTTATTTTTTTTTTTAAGAATTGGTAAAGTAATATTTGTTGTTCTTAAGCCATGCCATGATGTATAATTTGGTTATATTTATTGTACTTTCTCTTCGTGCCCCATTTCATGTGATCATAGTCTTGGTTGCATCAATAAATAAATGACTGAATGCAATAATCAAATATGACATGGAAGACTTCTCGTTTTAAAATCGATCGCCAGCATACGCTTCATTGACACACAAAAGGCCAAAAGATCTTCAGTGTGGCGTACCGATCTGTTACTTTATGACAGCCTGTACGAGCAAACAAAGAGAAGTAAAAACAGCTCCTCTTCCAAAATGACACTTGAATACAGAATTTGCACAGATGTTCCCGCCAGCCCCCTGCAGTGAGCAACATGTAGAGTGTTTAAACAGAAAGCAGACTGTGTTTAATGTCACAGGACTGCTCAATAATAAAAGAAAGCTTAGAAAGACACAATACAAGTTAGCGAATAAAAAACCCTACATTTCACTCTAGTGTTAAATCCAAGATTCAAAATGTACATGTGAATCTTAAAACATCCAACCGCCATTCGCAGAAGTGTGCCTCTGTCCTTGTTAGAGCACTTTTGCTGGAGGATGTTTCAATAGTAAATCGACGTTTCTTAAAGAGGAGATGGAAAAATTGGTAGTTTTTCTCTGTCTCATTGTGAACAGTCGGTAGTGCGCATCGGCTCTGTAGTGGGAGGTTTGGTAAGTGCTCGGCAATTAGACATAAGTGCTGTTTGCTGATAGTGGCAGATTAGGGGTGCTGGAACCAAAGTGTTCACTGTCTGTCAAATTATCAGCAGAAGATGAGGCTGAGGTTGCAGTTTGTTCTGAAGAAACCCAAAGGAACCAGCTTGATTTGCCATCCGTGTGTGTCGATAAACCCTACAACAGAGTTAGGCACAGTGCCCAGCCTCCAGATACCAATATACTGTATATTGAGTGTACTATACTGTGAGGGCAATAAAAAATACTTTCATTGCTCAATGTTATTCTCCAGAGCTTTGATGAAATAATCCTGGTGTTATTGGATGATTTCTGCTTTTGTATGTTGAGAGGGAAACATTTGTTTGACATGAAATACATTTCTTTGCTCATCCTTGTTACAGTGACAGTTTCCATTCAACCTGTATGGATGTAGAGTTGTAGGAACATTACAAACAAAAGCATTAAAAAACTTCATATGTAAACAGATGCAGTAAAGCTTTGCTTCAAGGTGTGCACTCATGGCTAGATCTTGATCTCAGGGTTACAAAGGGACAATTCACTACAACTGGATATTTCCAGCCTTTCTGTCCTCTTCAGTTAGCACTGAGATCCAAGTTTCAAACCTTTAATGGTTCCACAGTCATCAGCTCTAGAGAAACAACAAACAAACATACTACTTACATCACTAACTGCTGGGCATCTTAACTGCCAATAACCGAATTTCCAGAAAAGGAGGACAATTTTAGACTCAAAGATAGGACTGTATCTATCGAATATTGTAGTAATTGAGTATTCTACTGCATATTCCATCTTAATCGAGTAAACGAATAAAACTTTTTTTTTTAAGTGCAATTATTAATATACAGGAGAAAACGAGACATTTAACTTTACAATGAACAATCTTTTTTTTTCCTTTTTTAGAAACAAGAAACGCCAAACAAGCGTGTGTATTCACGAATTGCATATCTAGTAAGAAAGCTAATAATGATAACTTTCATCATGCCCCTACAGACATTAGTGTTCTGGTGCTTAATAGCTCTTAAATCACGTGCTTTTTCTACTGGAGCTCTGCAGAAGAAAAGCCCCCTTCATCATTCATTCATTTTTTCCGCTTTGCAAAACCAAAACTGCTCTTACTCCTCCTTCTCCCGTGGTGACATAAGCGCATTGTGTCACCTTGAAAATAATCCCTGCAAAACAGTGACTATTTGAGCTTATAAGTGAGTACTCAAGGCAGAGAAAATTCCTTGATCTTTTTTTGTAATCAAGGTACCTGAGGAATCGTTTCAGTCCTACACAAAGATGAAATAGAAACTTGAGATCTGGTCTTTCAGTTTAACTGTCCTCTGTAACCCTCACACACAATGAAATGTCTGTATTTATTATTCTGCTTGCTGCCATTTAAACTTATCAGTACATTAAAAGACACACAGCTTGTTGAAACATTGATCTTTGTTGTGACAAAGTTTCCCCTGATGATGAATCTTTACCATAATTATATTATCACTAAACTTATGGAAACTTGGGTAAAAGAAACCCTTCCAGTTAGTTTAGTAAAGGCAATACTAGGTGGAGTAGTAGAGTGACTCAAACTTTCCTAATAATTGCAACCAACTAACCTGTAATCACTCATCATAGAGCATAATTTTCCAGGGTAAAAAGAGGTTTAAAACTAGTAAAAACTGGTTCTTGGTTGACCTGAGTTCAACCTGTTTTGAGTCAAATTTCAATATTAGATGAAACACTGCAGCCTAAACCTTCTTAATATGCTAGGAGCTTTTTTGCTGTGCATCTGCCTGAGAAGGTCAGGACAGGTAAGTCAGAGCGCTGCGAGTCAACATGACAGACAGACAGGTGACTCAGTGTGACGTGGGAAGCAGCTTTCTGCTGACACAGAAAACATGTTCACACCAGTCATTTTCCAGCTGAGATAATTCATAAGCCTCCCACAGTGAAGATAATATCTCAGGAATATGTCACTTAGCAGAGCACTCAGTTGCTGACTAAGGCCTGCAACTGTGAAGAGCATAAGCTGTTTTTGAAGATACATTAGTTTGACTTCCTCTAGGAAATACCCGCATGTTTGCATGTACACAGCCTTTTAACTCACATCCTGCTCCAGGCCATATCAGGTTATTTCAGGATGCATGCTAAACCTAAAATTACTTTTATTACTGCAAGAACAAAATGTACAAGACAAGAATAAGAGGGAAATAAAAATATCAGCACATGCAGGTTTGGCAACTGGAAAAAGTGCTACTGCTTCAGTATTTCTGCAAAAAATCAGAAAATGTGTTCTGAGTCTATGGGAGAGTTTACCTTACCTCTTAACCCTGTTCCTCTGAATTAGGATATCACTTCTGATTGCCTGTTGTTAGTTTTAATTTTGTGTACTAAATCAGTAATGTGCACCTTCATGGATTTACAGGTTTTGCCTTAAATGTCCCATATTATGCAAGATTTACTGCAGAATGTTTTTTTTCTTGCGGCGTAAAATTAATTTAGGATCACACACAGTGACATTGAGTTACACAGCCCCTTGAGAGATGAATGTTGCCGACCGCTTGCTTCTCTAGTTATACCAACTTTAGGAACGACCACACAATAGCAATACACAGCAGTCTGTGGAACCACACACAAACCTCAACCAAAACACCACTCTATAGTCACAAATAATGCTCAGAACAGCACCTAACTTCATCAACAGCAAAGAGACTAAACACAACTCACCTACCCTCTCCCAGCAGCCACTTGTTTGTAGCGAGACGTCGGGCCAATTTATTGCGGACTGCTGCAGGGTGACGCAGATCAAGGAAGAACATTTATGATCAATTATTTATAATTTTCTTAAAGTAATCATCAATATATGACTCATTCTGCACTGCAGACATGGTAGTTCTTCTTCCTTAGCATCTTGGCCTGATTGCATTCCCCTGAAGAACTTTATGAACATTGTCAAACCACTTCTGATAAAGTTGGATGTCGTATGTTGTAGCTGATGTTGCAGCAAACATGACTTTGTGGCATGTAAAAGAAAGAAGCTTTAATCAACAGGATAAAAATGAATGTAACTAAATACCAAAACAAGTACAAGCTCAAAGAAACGAGCCTCATGGTCTGAAGGTCACTGGTGTGTTCACTCTCTGCTCTTATCCTTTACCTCGATGCTGATTTTATCTAATTCCCTTATCCCCACTGCTTTTTTCTATCATCCTTGCACCTCTCTTTCATCCCCTGTATCCCCCTCCCACCATTGCTATTTCTACCCCTTTTGCTTTCCTCCCACTCCTGCTCCCTTTGGTCCTGGTTTCACCCCTGTCATACAGAAGCACAATGCCTCTGCTTGTCTCAGAAAATAGGATGCTCCATTATCTGACTGTGTCTGCTCAACCAGGTGCTCCTGTCGTACTTTTCCCTCTGCTCCCCTCGCCCTCACCTCGGAGAATGATGGAGGGATGATTAGAAGGAGGAGAGAAGCCTTGAATGAGGGCAGTTGGGGGTAGAGAGATGTGGAGAGAGAGTGGACGGTGTGAAAATTACTGAGTGGGAGAGTGAGCGTGAGAGCTCTCCCATCTCTCAATCTTTCAGTCTGTTTCATCAGTTGATTGCTCCTATCAGACAGATTG